AGTTAGGTCTCCCCAACGAGCAAGGCCACTCCATGAGAACAGGAACTTTTCTTGCCATGTTCGCATGTTCATTGCCAGGACTTAGAATGATCCCTATCACATCAGAGGTGCTCAGTGAGAAACCATTGAATGAATAAATGAATAAATAATCCCCATTTTACAGACAAGAAAACGACGCACAAAAAGATTAAGTCCCCGCCCCATCACTCAGCTAGTGCACAGCACATCATGAGTGGAAAGCCAGATTCTGTCTGTTCCCAGCATCTTAACATCCCATCACAGACTGGTGACAGCTCTTCTCCAGGTGGCCAAAAGCTGGGAGAGCCAGCAAAGAGGAAAACAGATAGCACATGTGCTGGTGCCCCCATGTCCTCCCCCTGCCCAGCTGCCCCTAGGAAAATGGCAGGTTGGCCCACCAGAAAGACAATACAGGAGAGAGAAAGGAAGAAAGGAAAGTCGGGCCCCTCCCTTCCCACATCCCTGCATCTTCCTGCATCCCAGGCCCCAGCTGAGCCCAAGGGACACTCTTAGAGGGTGGTACCCTTGACCAGGGAGCCAGAGCCTAGGCAGCAGGGACAATCACAGGGTGGGACTGCGTGCAAGTCCACAGGTTGGTAAATAATAGCCGTGGCCATTTCTATCCATGTGTGATCTTGCACTGACATGACTTCATCTCTGCATTTCACCCAGACTATTCTATGAACATCAGTGCAAAAATGGAATTGTGAAGATGCAGATACCAGCTACGAAAAGCTTCAATCCTAAAAGCTTAATACACTGGGCACGGAAACAGAAACCAGTTGGCCAATGTGCCCTTCCTCTGATGCTCACTGGAACTGGACCAAGCAATGTGAATTCAGTTGTGAAGGAAAAGTACAACATTTTGAATCAAAATTCTGGAAATACTTTGTTGGAGACTGTGCATTAAGGAGAAGTGCAATTAGGAATTTTATTACATAGTTTAGCTCTCTGGGAACATGGTTAGCTCTCCTTATGCTACTTCAGTTCAGTTCACTGTTCTACTTTTACGTGCTGAATTCTACATGTGCTGCTGGAAAAAGTGTTGGGGTGGGGGGTGTCTGTAACTGAATGAGAGGGGATTTAGAGGTAAAAGACCAGGATCTGAACCCCCAATAAGCTCAACCACCTTTCAAGTACAAATGTTTAGAAGTCATTTAATATTTTGGAGTCATCAAAATCACCTGTGGCAAAGGCTATGCAGTGTCCCCTAATGTATTCTTCCACAGCAACAGAATATTTAGCTAGGCACAGGGCTGCCCAGAATAAAGCTCACATTTCCCAGCCTCCCTTGCATTTATATATGGTCATGTGACTAAGTTCTGGCCAGTGAGATGTGAGCAGAAGAGATGTGTGCAGCTTCCCATTGGACCTTGAAAGGAGGAGGGCATGTTCTGCTTCCCACCTTCCTGCATCCCACTACCTAGAAGTAGGCAAGTCAAAGAGGGCCATAACCTAGAACCTTGGCCCCTGACCCTGAAGCCCCTATACCAGCCCCAGATTGTCTAAACCCACATTGTCACTATAAGGGGATAATAAATGTCTACTTTGTTTAAAGCATTATTTGGTTTGTCTGCAAAGCAGACGAATGTATGTCTTAACTCATACACAACAGACAGTGGTATGAAAGGCTCAAAAGGGGTCAAAAATGAAAACCTTTTTTATGCATAAGTGAAGCTCTCTACAAACGTAGGGAACGCCATCATGGATGTCTGCTGTTCGGCCTGACCAACGCCCATTCGCAACTTACTTGCCTTCCCACAGATGCAAAGCAACTCTCTTTTCAGGGATCTGCTCCACCCTCAGGCACTGTGGTATGGGTGGACCTCACCCCGCCCTCGAACAATAGAAGGGACCGATCAGACCATCACTCAGCCTTTCTGTCTACAGCAAGTGGCTCAGGGATAAGGTTTTGAGCCAAACTGAGCCAGTGAACATCGGACCCAGGATTTTTGCTGTTACTGTGGGGAAAGAGGAGCTCTTTTTACCCTGGAGTTGATCAGCTATAAGAGGTATAAGCATAGAGCTGCTGGAGGTCACATTGCCACCACCTGGGCAGAGCTTGCCTGGGAATGGAGCCAAGGCCGAGAGCAGCGCAGCTAAGAGACACATTCCTGATGACATCATCTGAATACCCAGACTCTGCCATGCCTGAAGCCCTCTCGGGTCTTAGAATTCCCAGAAGAGTGAACCAGTAAATGCATTTCTGTTTTCTTCTGATATTTTATTTTGATTGTTGTTTTGCTTAAGCCAGTTTTAATTGGATTTTCATTCACTTACAATTAAATAATCCTAATAATACTAGTAAGCCTAATAATCATAATCCCAGTAATAGTAGTGGTAATAATAATTACTACTATTGCTACCACTTTTATTAGGACCATATTTTAGACCAGAAATTGGCAAAGTGGACCCTAGTGCAGTCCCTCTGCCTGCTTTTGTAAATAAAGTTTTATTAGAACACACCCCCACTCATTCCTCTACATATTACTTATGGCTGCTTTCCTACAACAGCATGAGTGGAGTTGCTGTGACAGGGGCTGTATGGTATGCAAAGGCAAAAATACTCATTAGCTCAACCCTTACAGAAAAGATCTGCTGATCCCTGCTTTAGATGGGAGATCACCCCAGCTGAGAAAGGAATCAGGCAGCACAAGTCAGCATGAAGCTCCTTCATGCCCAGAGATGCCCAAGGCTGAAGCAGGGAGAAAGGGAAGACCAGGGGTGGTGGGTACACTTACCAGCAGGAAGGCACGCACAGTGGGGATCTTGTTCAGCTCTACCAGCAGGCGCAGGGCCTTCTCGTGGTTACTGCAATACTCCTCATACACGCAGAACTTGTCCTTCTGCAAGACAAGGACAGGGCCTGTGGGAGACAGGTCACAGCAGGAAGGCAGCTGCCCTGAGATGTGCCGATGGCCAGGCCAGCAGGCCTAGGAGCAGAGGACTACCTCAGAGCCTGGAGAGGCTGCAGCAGGAGGAATTTTAGGTCAAGCAGTCCCACTTACTACAGGCCTCCCGGCATCCACTCTTACCCCAATTCTGTACCCAGCAGCCTCAGTAACCTTTCGAGAAACAGCACAGTCCCAGGCTCAAGAGCAAACTTGAACCAAGACACCTGGGCTTGCACCCTGGCTCTGCATTTCCTTGCTGTGAACTTAAGCAAGTTACCTGACCTCCCTGTGGCTCAGTTTCCTCTTTTGTGAGGTGGAATTAATAAAAGTCCCTAACTCATGAAATTGTTATAGCAGGGGGATAGCTCTGTTGATCTTCACATGCCCCTGAGCCCAAAGTTGAATTCTTTCCAGCCCACAGGTCATCTGTGAGTCACCAGGTCCGTAACCATCAGTCAGGGTTTCTGGAATTGGAAGGGACAGGAACCTTCTAAGCAGGAAGCTCTCAACTGAGCATTCTTGGTTCCAAAAGGCTCACAGAACTTGTCAAACCCCAAACAAGTATGTCCTAAGTTAGCCTGCTGGGGGAGGAAGGCTGCAGGGCCTCAATCTTGGGCTAGGTATGGGCAAGAGACCCCAAGAAGCTAAAGAGGGAAGAGGAGGGTCTACAAAGCCAGCATCCCATCTTGTTGCTGAACAAGCCCCTGCCAGCCTTGCAATGGGAGACTGCAGGAAGTAGGGAACTGAAGGGGAGGGAGAGTGGGTTTCAGAATCAATAAGCATCCCCCAGCCTGCCACAGCTGCTCTCCGGGCTCCACGCATACCATCTGAGCAGACCCCTGAGTGACAAAGTGCCTACAGCCAGAGCTAACAGCCAACAAGGGTGTGTCCTGAGCACTTAGCACGGGCCACACTCTGCTCTCTGGAATGAGGGTGAACTCATTCACACCTCTCAATAAGCGTGATGGTAATCACTGTAGCAGACCTACAAGCACAAGGGAAAACCAAGGCAAAGTCACTTGCCCAAGCTCTCAGAGCTAGTGACATGGGAGAACCAGGATTCAAACCCTCTTGACCCCCAAGCCAATGCCCAGCTCAAGCTCACCACACAGCATAGGACTGGGAGTGGGATGAAAAGACCCAGGGCCTAAAACTCAAGCCATAAGTCCACAGACTAAGCTCCGAGGGGTGCTACAGCATGACGATGGAGACTGACACCAGAAACCCAGCTCCACGCTCCCCAAGTAGTGGCTGGCCTTGGTTTCATCATCTATAAAGTGCACATAATAACAGACCCCCACCATTTGGGCTGCTGGAGGATTAAATAATATGTGTAAAATGAGTAGAACAGTCACTGACACACAAGTACTTTATAATACTTCAAAATACTCTACAAGTATTAGCTATAAATACATCAACAAACATGAACCAATAAGGGAAAATGCCAAAACAAACAATGTCACAGTTATCCAAAGTGTACACACAAGTACACACACCACGGGACAAACAACCCTCATGCATACTCCAAGGAAGCATCCAACAACCTGAAGCATTATAACACGCAAGCTACATGCTCCAAACAAAACAACAGTATCAGCGTGAGCACAGAAATATACACTGAGTTGCGCACCACAGTCTCCTCACCCAGTATGCACAGCCCACTGAGATGCCAAGACACATACACAAGGGCAGAGAAGGAGAAGATGGAACCCCCCAGCATCCCTCATACTACCCAAGGGACCTTTTCTATTTTCACTGGTCTCCAACGAGCATAGGGGACCATCAAGGCCAAAGGAGATGAATGAAAAATCTGGACTGCAGGGGCTCAACCATCCACTGATAAAACCAGAGGAGTCAGGCTGCTGGACACACCTGGAACCAGGTCCTCAGCTGCAGACATGGTGAGACGGGCTGCCAGGAAGAGGAAGAGGACTTTTCCTATAGGTGATAAGAACTGGCATGTGTGTGGCAGCCTGCTCCTGCAGATAAGTCCTGCAAGACTGCAGAGCGAGAGCTAGGCTGTGAAGGCAGGCACATGAATGGCAGTAAGAGTTCCCAACCACATGTAAGGAGCTTTAAAAAACAAAGTTCCTCTGCAGCGCCATGGAGCCTCAGTTGGCCTTGGATAGCCAGTTCCCTGCCATTTCTGCCAGCAGGCCATTGCACCTGCGCGATGCACCCCACCGCACTTGGAATAGGGTCCAGTGCAGAGCCCCTTGTCCTGGACCACAGGCTGCCCCCTCAGCCATCACACAGCACACATTCTTGGGGAACCTGGTGCTAAATCATTGGTGGATGACCCGCTTCTGGGTCAGGGCTTCCTGCATAGCAGAGCAACTCCCTCGCTGAGATTTATTGAGAGTCAGCCCTTGTCACAAGGGTTTACGTTTAAAAAAAAGTCCCTCTGCAGCCAAAAATCCGGGCTTTTCCTGAGCCTACAGACCATGCTATTAGTATGGCTCTGAGATAAGACACTGAAAGCCCCCATGACCACTCTCACCAACCACTATCAACATCAACCTTGTAAGTGCTAAGTGCAGGTTCTGCAACCAGACCACCCGGGTTCATAGCCCAAATTCCCTGGTCACCAGCTCTGTGACCTTGGGCAAGACAAGCAATGTTTCCGAGCCCCTGCATTCTTACCTATAAATTATAGACAATAGTGATGTCCTCTTTACAAGGTTATTGTGAAGAATAGCAGATGATTTCACATTAAAACAGTGCATAGTAAGTGCTCACTAAATATCAACTAGTATTATTATTGCTTGTTAATGTTGTTGCTATAATTACCATCATTATTATTTCAGAAGATTCATTATCCCATTAGTGAAATGGTCTGTTGCAGGGTAGCGCAGTGGACAGGTACGTTTTTATAGCAAGAAAGAGACAGGGGAGGCAGGAGGAAGGTAGCTGGTAGACTCACAGGTCTGGGGAAGGCCATCAGGGAAGGGCCCAGGCAGATTTTGAGAAATATGATGGGCCTCGATCCCCGGTATGTTTTACTTCTCATTCATGTACGATCCATCTCTCCCTCAACCTCCATGAACTATGAGCTCCACAGGGACAGTGTTTGCACCTGCTGAGGTCACTGCTGTGGTGCCTGGCAGAGAGCAGGCATCATGACCATTGAAGGAAAGCAAGAAAACAGAGGGAGGAACTGAGAGTGGCCTGATGGCTCCTCAAGCCAGCTCCATGCTATTTCCCAGGCTGACCCCCACCCCTACCCCCACCCCCAGGTAATATAGGGAGAGTGTGACCCAGGCCAAACCAACCCAAGAGCTCCCTGTCCTGGCAACAGTGGCCATGTTACCCAAACTAGGCCAGTGAGAGCCCTCAAGGACGAGTGCTGAACTTACTAGAAAGAGAAGACCTCTTTGAACTGCTGTTGCTGAGCAGACAGTGTCAGCCAGGAGCTACAGAAGGAGCCAGGAGCTCCCTGCCACTATATGAGGCACATAACCCACACCCTCCCCTGCCTGCCAAGAATGAAACCAACACAGAGGAGAGCAATACCCAGGGATAGACAAAGACCAGGTTCTGAAAATAGCACAGAGTCCTGGATCCAGCTAACTCTGAAGCCAACATACCCTTAAACATTTCATTTATATGCACCAATAAAGTCCTTTTTGTGTGTAAGCCTATCTAAGTTGGTATTTTTGTCACTTGCAGTGAAGGCAGTCTTGATACATGCACACTCTGAAAAAGGAAAGAAAATTAAAAACACAGACCCAAACTCAGAGAGATAAAAGGGTCTCCCTGTCCCTCTCCATCTGTACCATGAAGGGGCTGAGCCTGAAAGCAGGGACAAATCTGTTTCTTCTCACATGCCAACCCCAATCAATGGGTCATGCAGGCTGGAACACTGGTGAGAAGGATCTGGAGCCCCGTGGGGAGCCCAGATACAGAATGCTGTGATTGATTAGCGATGTCTGTCCCAGATGCAGGAGAGGGAGTAAGTGATTAGATCACCACAGGTTTGTCATTGCTCATCCCCTGGGCCCCTTCTCTGATACAGTCTACAATGTCACCCTCTCCTTCAGCCTAGGGAAAGGGTGGGGGCCTAAGGCGTGAGGCTGAGAGAAGCCAAATTTAGCAAATGACAACACTGCCTCTTCAAAACCAGTTCAATCACTCCGTGTCCTTTCATCAAGCCCAACCCCAGCTGTATCTCAGGCCTGAGACCCTGCAAATATGGAAACACTGCTTCTGACAGCTCAGCATCCAAGGGTTCGACTTCCTCCTAGGGGCCCCATGCAGGGCTTTGATTGATTTGCCAGTAAGAAGCAGACACTCAGTTGTGCATACACAGATGTGGTGTGTAGGGAACATGCGGCTGTGGGTTTGGGGTGTGAAGGAGAAGACGACAGTTGCCAGCTGGGGACAGCTGGGGTAAGGCATCCACCCCCGGGGAGGGCTCAAGGATTGTCAGAGGTGGTGACTGCTGTCCACAGTACTTGAGAGGTGACACTGGCTCCACAGAGACCATCTGCTCCAAACTGCTCACTTCACAGGCAGAGAGACTGAGAGGGAGAAGCGAAGGAGTCAGCCCACGTAGACATCTCCTCCAGTGGGAGGAGAGCAGGGATTCAATTCTGCAAGGGTCTTCCCAACCTTTCATTTACCTGTCCACATAGCTGTGGGGAGAGGGGGCTTCATACATTAATCAGACAAACATTAATCCCGCATTTAAAACCGCCAATGGCTTCCTACAACTCAGGATAAAACCTACGGTCCTTGCCTTGGCCCACAAAGCCCTACAGAACCTGGCCACCCATGATGCCGCTGAACTCCCTCCAGCTCCAGCCACACTGGTCTCCCTTCTCCCCTGGAATGTGCCAGGCTTACTCCCAGCTCAGAGCTTCTGTCCTTTCTTCCCTCAGTCTGGAAAACTCTTCCCCATGACCATCCCACTTCACCATCTCAAAGAGACTGTCTTTGCCAAGAGTTGCCAG